GAGTTGGAACAAGATGTGTGGAGTTTACAGCAGGAAACTGGAAACTAAAATTTCACTCTCTACTAAATCCAGCAAAGAATCCTATTCTTAAAAAATGACCTTGGAAAGGGTCCCAGGCCTGCTGAAGAGTTAGGCGCTGGCTCATCAGGCCAGAGGAAGCTGCAGGATGGGGAGCCCCTGCGTCTGAAGAGGTAGACATCTGTCTGAAAGTAATTCATTTATTCTTTTAAGAAATGGGAGGTACGACGTTTAGAGGGTCCTTCTTTTGCATCTTGAAGCAAATAACCTCTTCTGGCACGGACCAGTTTGATTCCAGGTTGTACACGAATATGCACATAGAGTGACTTGGCTGCTTTTTCTGGAGATCGTGGCTCTGCTCTGCAACTTTGTGATTCATCAGTAATTGAGATACCCCTCTTGAATAATTTATCTAAGACACACATCTCAGACGTTACAAGTCACATCTCAGAGCTTCGTTCAATACTTTGGGCTTCAAATGTTTTTTGAAAATAATGGTGTTTCAATATGTTTTACATTTCAATTCTGAAAGTTGTCATCCTGTTGAAACTACAGGGTTTTTAAAAATGAGGTATGATTGAAATGATTTATTAAGTGATTCCATATTGTTTACACATTTTACCATGACCATGTGCAACTTTGACAATGCAAAATTTCTCATTACACCAAATTTTTCAATATACTTACAATATTTAAAAAGCTTTAGTGTTTCAGGAAAACACTGTGTAATGAACCACCGAATAAAAAAGGAACTTGAATACACATTTTTTCCTGTATATATAAACATCTGCTCTAACGTCTACCTCCTAAAACTGTTGCTTATTTTGTTTCAGCTTTAACTCTTAAAAATAGTAGAATAATGATCTGACTTGGAATGTTCATTAGTTTAACAGCAGGAGTCAAGTTAATCTCCTTCACATCTCACTTAGATTTACTTAGTGTTTAAGATATTTTTTAAAGTCTGTTGGAGGGAGCAATTTTGATCTAGAACTTGGGGTCTCTTGGGGGCATAAAGCAGTCAGAATTCAGGCGGAGAATGAGTTTGCCAAATTTTTCTGAATCGAAAGGCAGCTCTATTCTAGAGTGACCTTGGTGAAGCAAGTTTTTCAGCCTGGGATGCAGATATACATGGTAGAGAGCAGCTGCACTAGTTATAAATATCTCGTAAGGTAGGCAAAATTCTGCACTGTAACTCTTGTAGCCAGGAAGCCAGGAAAGAGAGGGCTTCTGTCTCCTTTCGGGAATTTGCTGTTCACCCCCAAGGAACCATGAGCAATTAAAACAGAGAGTTAGCACTGCTCACAGGAGGGATCAATTTACTCTGAATAGCCCCAAGCTTTTTATCACTTGCTATGGTAGTTTTGCTCTGGACAAGGGAGGAGTACAGTGGGGGAGCCTCAGTGAGGGGAGGTTGGACAAGAAGCAGTAATCTGAGATGGAAAAACAAAAATAGAGTAGGGAATAAAGGGAGGAACGAAAGAGGAGCAGGTTTTGGGAGGCCCTTGGGCTCTTACTGGCAATCCTGTGCTCAAAGGCCTCCTAGAGGGCAGGTGGTTATTTCAGTCTGTTCCCATTATAGGCTCTGGTGTTGCCCCAAGGAAGGGTGTGGAAACTGGAACTGACAACAGCTCTTCATGTCATATTCTTTCTCATGAATCTACAGTGACTCTCACACTTCATCTTGCCTTTCAGCATTCCCGGATGTTCACATCTACCCTTATCCTTCCTACGTGATCTCCAGCTACACCTCAGACTGTGTCCTCAAGCTAGGCTGCTCTCCAAGCTACGAGCTCCCACCTATACCTCCTTTCCCTTATTCTTTTATTTTAACTCCTCTTTCCTTTTCACATATCTACACCTCCATCTCCTAGGTCAAGATACAATTTTTGTCATAATAATAATAACGACATTGCAAAAAGCTTTATACCAAGCATTTAAACATGTCCTATCACACCTAAGCCATGGTCTTCCTGAGACCTTTCCTTGATTATCTTGGTCCACATCTGTCTCTCCCATGTTATGTCTCCTGAAGCATTTGTTCATTGACCTAACTCAACAGCATTAACTTCTGGTATCAAAGGCTGTAGTAATCTATATTTTCAACAAGTTCCCCAAGAGAAACTGAGGAGTGAGCTAAGGAGGCAGAATTCTGACTATTGCTATGTACTTTATATTTTTCCATATTGTTTATACATTTTTACCATGGCCATATACACAACTTAGATAATGAAAATTAGTGTGTGTGGATATATATATATATATATATATATATATATATATATATATATATATATACATACATATATGTACAATAATACCTTGGTTTGCGAGCATAATTCGTTCCAGAAACAAACTACACATATTGTAAGACAAAGCTCGTTTACCAAGTTAAAATGTATTATTAGGTACAAGTAATGGCAAAAACCGCTATTACTTTTGCACCAACCTAATAGAGATGTTTGCGCATCTTGCGGAACACTTGCAAACCAAGTTACTCACAATCCAAGGTTTTACTGTATATATATATATATATATATATATATATATATATATATATATACACATATATATATGTATATATATATACATATATATATATATCTGCCAGATGATTCTGGTAGTGTGAGAACCATAGGTCCATATTAGTCATTTGAACAATGATTCAGGTACATGTCTTCTTTCATTTCTTAGCTCTCCAACAAGGCAGAAAGGTACTAGCCCTGTACTTTTCCTGTCTCTCCAGTGCTAGAAATGCCAGGCTCAAAGCAGATGCTTGATAAATACTTGAATGGGTTTGATTAGACTCCCAATAAAATGAGAAAAATATTAATAAGAACTTACATGACATGGTACATTTGGAGAAAAAAAGAAAACTGTATAAATAGTGGGTTAAAAAAATATTAAGTAATTAGTAAGACCGAAAAAACACTCGTATGACTTAATAGGCCACAAGACGACCATGGCTCAGCTTCATTGGTTTGCTTTAGATGGAGAAGCAAAGGATCTTTGAAAGCATCATGAAATCTGTAGCATGTAGAAACCATGAGGAGTTCACTCTTTTTAATCTGACTCATTCTTAAAATGATTTGCTCAATTAATAAATTCTACAGCTAAAGAAAAAAATTTGAGTAGTTGGAGAGAGTTAAGGATAAAAACTCTCATACGTTTCCTGTGGGAATATAAAATGATGCAGCCACTTTGGGAAACAGTCTCACAGTTCTTCAAAAAAATTAAACAGAGTTAGCATAGGACCCAGAAAATCCACTCCTAGGAATATACCCAAGAGAACTGAAAACACATATCCGTACGTACAAAAACTTGTACATAAATGTTCATAGCAGCATCTTTATGCTACCCAATGGATAATTATGATAGCTGATGAATTAAAAAAACAACAACATGTGATATAGTCAAACAATGGAATATTGTTTGGCCATAAAAAGAAATGAAGTACTGATCATGCTACTATATGGATAAACCCACCGTGGAAACATGATAGTGAAAGAAATCAGACATAAAATGTCATGTATTCTATAATTTAATTTATATGAAATGTCTAGAATTGGCAAATCTGTAGAGACAGAAAATGGATTAGAGATTGCCAGGGGCTAAGAGGAAGGGGGATGGGAAGTGACTGCTAGTGGCATAGAATTTTGGAATTAGATAGTGGTGATGGTCGCACAATTCTGTGAATATACTCAAGATCTCTAAATTGTATACTTTAAAAGGGTAAATTTTATGGTGTGTAGATTATATTTCAATAAAGTTTTGGGGTTTTTTTAAGTGAAGAAAAAAAATCAAGAGGAACATGGGGAGAGGGAAATCTGGGCAGTAGGACCCTCCCAAAGAATGTTAAAAAAAAATAGGAGACAAGAAAGCAATTTTACTAAAGGCAGCCTTTGAATTAAAAAAAAAAAATGATGACTAGCTGGGGAGAAAAAAAGATAAGCTTTAAATGCAGCCTGAGGGATATAGTTTAGATACAAGGTTCTCCTATCAATAGAAGTTGGAATAAAAGGTTTTCACATCTCTCTTTTTGGTGGACTTAAATAGTGCTTAGAACAGGTTTTATGTGTGCAGCACAATTTGTAGGAGCCCTTCTGAAATAGGAGAGGGATGAATTACATGACCTTTCATGGTCTTTGGTCTTTCTTTCTCTCTCTGAACACTTCAAACACTCAGCATTCGATATAACACACTGCCTCCGGTGCATTTAGTCTCGGAGAAATAAGAGAGGAGATACTTCTGTTTCTTGAAAAGTTTTATTTGGTTTCTATGTTAAGTCATAAACACACAGTTCTCTTAAGACTGTAAAAGTTTTCTCTAAACAATTAAATTTTTATTAAAAAATAAACAAACTTGAAGCTGCACTGGCAATCTGTCATTTCAATCATTTGTGTAAAGAAAACAAATTCAGACTATGTACAGCTAGCTACCTCTACACAATATTAACATGAATACATAGAACGTACTTGGTCTGACTAAAAGTTTTGAAACCTCCATAAGCATTTGAGTTCAATGTTATTTGAAAAAGAAAATATCACCCCCACCCATATTTTCTCAGGATGGAACCATCTCTTCTAAGGCCTCCCATGACCTCCCAAAGCTCCTTGCTTTAGGAGAAAACAGGTACCTGCTTTTGGTCCACTCAGCACAGGCTTCCTCATTCTTTTCCCGGTTCCCAGGTTCCCATGAAAATAAAACAAACTGCAGGACATGATTAGAGCAAGGAAGTCTCTTCTTGGCCCTGTCACCAGATTCAGATGGGATCTTTTTTTAGTCTTTATTCTCTGGTCAGGTCAGATAGCGCTTCATTTTATGGCAAAATTTATGTCAGTATTGATGCTCTTGGTTTCACCATCACACACAGTCAACGAAACTCATTCACTGAGTAAATATAGAAATTTAAAACTTCCTATTTTGTGTTAGTAATATAAATCTCCATTTCCGATATCCTCAAATGTTTTTAACAACAGCATGTTTACTGAATAACAGGTTGTGATCTTAGGAGAAGACATTGTGAAACCTTGATTTGTTGTGACTATTGACTAAGGAGAATCCTTGCCAAGTCAGGAAGCATTTCACGTCCTTAGGAGGGGCCCCTGCTCCTGCTTTGCTAAGCAAGGGCATGGTCAAACTGCCCTTTCTCCAGGCCTTCAAGTCCGTCCGCCCAGGTCGAGGTTGGCATGCTCCGGTACGGGTCCAGGAGAATCCGGAAGCACCTGACGATGAGGATGCCCAAGAAAATAAACAACAAAATCACAAAAGCAAATGTGGTTTTCTGCTCCAAAGACATGCTAGAATCTGACAACGTGTTCCCAAGGGGCACGAAGGGTGAAGGGACAGGCTGTCCTCCATCCATCGTCCAGGGAAGGCAGAACACAGGATCTACCAGTTTCCTTTTCTTCCATCATCAGTCTGCTGACATCGTGGTGGCTGCACCTTGGGAAAGGCTAAGTTATCTGCAGAAAGAAGTAGGAAAGGAAATAACTAACAAAGAGTAACTTTATTTCTAGGCTCACAGTCATGTTTTTCAGAGAGATGAAGGAATCTCTAAACTTTTTCACCAGAGATGCCTAATTCTGTATAATTATGGGGAAGAATATTTTACTCTTACATGAAATTACCAAACTGTCCTCAGAGTAGTCATCTGGGGCCAGGAGACATGGGCAGAGAAGGGAACCAGAGTACAGAAAATGAGAAATGTTCAATGTTGACCCCAGGGAGTGCTTACCAACTCGACATCCAAACCCAGCCTTCCCTGCCAAGCCTCTTCTAGATTTCTTCCAATAACATTACTCTCACATCATTCCTATAATGTTACTGTTGATTGAACACCAGCTATGTGTCAGAACTGTGGCTAAACACAACACACATTAGCCACCCTATTATAAGCTCCATGAAAGCAGAGACCTCTGTAGCCCCAGTTTGAGGAAACTAAGGCTGGAAAAGGTGTTTGTTCTAGGAACTCTCTTGGGGACCATTGGGTTTTGCGGTCCAGCCCCTGGCCTCCGTTTTACTGTTAAATGAGTACAGGAACTTGGAGAAGTCACTAAACTGTAAAAATGGAAGTAGAGATGCCTGCGTATCTCACGTTGCTATAATGAGGATGAATGTCTGTGAAAACTCTTTGAAAAGTATGCAAAGAAGAAAAACAAGCAAAACAAAGTGTTGCTTCACTGAAGACATGACTAAGGGAGCTGTGATGCTTCTCCCTTGCTTCCTCTTGTCTGAGCCAAGAGAGAAGGGAGGTGTTTCAGACCATCAAACTCCTGCTGCTTTTTCTTTTTTGCTGCAGAAAATGAAGACCAGTTTCAATACTTGAAGCACCTAGAGAACTGAGCTAGGGAAAAGGAATTGATTGACTGCATTTTTTTAAAAGCCCTTCAGTGGTTCCCTACTGTTTCTTTCCAAAGGGCGAGTTATCATTATTTCCATTTTACTGGTGGAAAAAAATTAAGGAATATAGCTCTATTGTTTGTCTTTAAAGGCAAATTGAAGTATACACAAAGGCCATTAAATGCTTCAGATATTGAACTAAAACTATTTAAATAAAATTTTGTAAAAAAGAGTATTTATATTACACATTACTATACAGAAAAACCATATAACATTTATTTATGACTCTATAAAAAAACCGACATAGCAGAGTAGTCAGGTACGGAGATTAACATGGATGCAAAAAACGTATGCCCTATGAAAAGAAGCAACCAAATAAAAATAGAAATTATGACCTAAAGCATTAACACAATATTCCTTCAGCTGACTTATAATTACTGCATTGAAGTATAGCATTAGTAATCATAATACAGTGTGCATGGATGGTGACACGTCAAAGTTTATAAAATCACAGTTTTAAAAACAGTTCATAAAAGGAATGACAAGCAGCATTTGGGAAGGAGGAGTTACCAGTTTGAAGAGAAAGAATAGTTTGCAGTTTTATCCATGACTGATTTTTTTTAAAGGCTGGAATAGTTGCAATGGAGTTGCAATGGAATAGTTGAAATTTATGATTCATTTTTATTTTGAAGTAAGGTTGACATAAAATTTGACTGTATTAAAAAAATTTAAAAAGCCCCTTAGGAATATAGAAGATGTTCACGGTTTGCATTTGGTTTTGGTTTGCTTGGGTGTTAAGTCTAGATAGGTAACTGGTGCTGAGGGGAGAGGGCAGGAAAAGGGTGATCAGAGCTCCCAATGTAGTTCTTACTACTTCCTACTAGAGCCATCTGTACCCACCCAAAATATGCAAACTGGACTTAATCATACGAAAAATGAAAGTCTCCAAGGGCCAGGTCACAAGAAAGCCATGTGGTGATAGAGGAATAGATGCCTTAGCCATCCCTGCCATGTTTCCTCTTGCCTTTTCATACCCTACTGAGGATCCCCACACGTCAACCCCTGCCCTCCCGCTGGCTTACTTGAATCCCATTCTATGTCCACTCTCCCTCCAGCCCACCTGAGGCCAGGGCCCTTTTCTTTGTCTAGTCTTTTTTTT